GTGGCCTAGAACAGTTGGTGAAAATCCCCAAGAGTTGCCTTCTTCAAGACCAACACTCAGACATTTTTAAAAGAGCATTGATTATTTCAACAAGATATATTCATAATTACAGAAGAATGAAGAAATGAGGTGACCCCAGTTAATTTAGGTAATATTTAAATAATTATAAAATGAATCTATTTCACAAAAATCAAATATCCAAATTACTATAAAATACAACTACTTAGCAGGAAAATACCAATTTCTAACATGAATAACAGGGTGTCTCACTTTATACTGTCTTTTTTTTTTTCACTTGATATCTATTTTTGTTGCAATAGAGAACAAAACTTAAATTTGAAAAAGTCACAGCTTGCCCCTGCTTATCTCCAAAGAAGAAAAGATTTCAGGGTTGGGTCCTTGTTGCTCTGATCAGGGGAATGGGTAAAGTTGTAGAGTTGAAGATGATGGAGTAGACTGGCTCACTAGACATGAGACAGGAAATAGAGTTGCTGGGGTTATGGAGATAATGAGGAGACAAACTATCCAGGAGGAGGGAGAGGTAAACTAACAGAGGAATTAAATCAGCATTTATTGGTATTTGTTATGTGTCTAGCTTGGTGTCAAACAAAAGTGCTTCCTAAAGTTTTGGCCCCCTCCCCTACCTTAGGGAGACAAATCTCTCTCTCTCTCTCTAATTTACTTTCTAAATAAACTATATTTTCCAATCTTAAAAAAAAGTGCTTCCTATACATTCACATTATTTACACATGTATCCTAGTTCATCAGGTGTTGGTGGACACTGAGGAATGTATACACAGCAGACAGTACCAGCTAATAAGAGAGGATCTATGAACTCTGAGCAGGGATTTGTTGAACTCACCTGGGGTGGAGAGCCCTTCCCTCCAGGCAGTGAAAGTTCTGGATTTGAAAGTTCTGGATTACAGCTTTGAGATCTTGGACTGACCAACATTTCTTTATTATTTAATCTATAAAATGGAGAAATAACTAACATGGCCAGAGGGCTAGATTGGGGGATCTATTATGATCACTTTTAGTTCTAAGATATGTTAATTTTAGAAAGTATGAGAACTGAATCATGCTTTACTAGCATAGGCTTCTCAGGGAGACAGATTTGGACTCAAACCTCTTTTGCAACACTTGCTGGGGGTGATGCCAGGAATGCTCCCAAATAGTTCTCATTTTCTGTTTCCTATTTTGTTAAGTGGAAATTTCTCATAGGGTTGTTGTAGGGATAAAATGAGACAATGTTTGTAAAGAACTTACATGGTTCCTGGTTCATGGAAAGCTCTCAATAAATGGAAAATAAAAAACAACCACACCCATAAAAATAAGGATTGGATTCAAGTGGTTTAAATGCTTACAGTTTTTCAGACAAAAATAAATACATAAATAAACCTCCCTAGAACACCCAACTCCAGGCATTTCAGTTTAGTGTGTTTGTACTGCTGTGTGAAATGATGCTTGAGAAACTAATTAGTTCACAAGTGTAATAATGTGTTTCCATTTGTGTGGACAGAATGCATTTGCACAGATTTATTAATTTTCTTTCTACTTGAAACTTAAAAATATGATTCCAAATTTATAGTAATAACAATACAACAATCTCCAAAAGTATAAGGTGGAACAATAGTTACGTCCATGGTCTGCATACAGGCAAGTTTATTCTTCCATCTTTTGGAAGTGGGTAAGTATGCCAATATTCTCCCTCTTCATGAATGAATCAAGCTAATGGTCTGTTCTGGGATTATCTCCTTCCTTCCTCTTCTTCATAGTTAGAGCAGAAAATTGCTAGACGTTATGCCAGTGTTAGGGTCTGAGGCAAAGCTTGGGTAGTCTGGTCAGCATCCACAGGAGTGTGGAAGTGAGGACCTGGACAGTTGGACCCTTCTATTTCCTATATCTTCACTTGTTCCCTGGCTATGTAAAGCATTAAGTAAAAAAGTATCTTGTTTACGATGTTGCTTAAGTAATAAGTAAAGCATTTGTTGATAAGGACTTATGATACAACTAGTCCTGGAAGTTGTTTTTTAACTTTTAATTTTGAAATAATTGTAGACTCATAAGAAGTTGAAAAAAATAGTATAGGGAGGTCTCATATATCTTTTTTCCAGCTTCCCCTAATGGTAAAATAATACATAATTATTGTACATTACCAAAACTAGGAAATTAACATTGGCACAATACAACAAACTAGATACAGATTTTTTTTTTTTTTTAAGTTTTAGAGCCAGGTCTTGCTCCGTCACCCAGGCTGGAGTGCAGTTGGGCAAGTACAGCTCACTGAGGCTTCAACCTTCTGGGTTCAGTAATTCTCCCACTTCAGCCTCCCAAGCTGGGAATACAGGCATGCACCACTACACCCAGCTAACTTTTTCTTATTTTTTCGTAGAGACAGCATTTCACTATGCTGCCCAGGCTGGCCTCAAGTGATCTTCCTGCCTTGGCCTCCCAAAGTGCTGGGATTACCGGTGGTGAGCCACTGTGCCTGACCAAGACATTTTTAAAGAATGAAAAATTCTCAAGGCTAAAAGGAAATCTTTGATGAGTTTTAATGTCACCTCTATATGTGTAGACTTCAGTTTTTACGTTTGTCTTATTGAATTGAGTTCTAGATTAACTTGCTGTCTGTCAGTTCAGAGAAGGACCCATGCTGTACTCACCTATTGCTTATTAAAGTGCTTGGAATTCAGTAGATATTTTTGGTTAAAAGGATGACTAATAGTTGCTTACGTCTGTAAAGGGTCCATTTATACACATTATTGCTACCGAGCATGATCATGGCTAGGGGAAAAAACAGATTTTGAAAGCATTCAGATCTTGGCATTTATTAGCTAGAGTCTTGTGACAGGCACTGAATGTCCTTCCTCGTGTGCTTAATTGTATCCACATAATTGAGTTGTTGTGAAGATTCAAGGAGGTAATTTTTGTAATAAAGAAAAACACACAGGGGCTGTGGGAGGTAGATTGGGTAAGGAATTTGATTGTCAGTTTACAAACTGAGGCTCAGAGGAGATAAGTCATTTGTTGAGAATCAAAACTAGTACACGGTCGTACAGCTAAGCCCTTCAGGTCGGGTGCCTTCTGTGATATCACAGCGCCTTTCCCGGGTAACAGGAGTGGATTAAAGTAACCAAAACAAAGCAAGCAAACAAATGACAACCATGGGGGCAGTTGTAGAGGGTTAAGAATTTGCCATATCACGTGTGGTTGTGGATTTTGTTTGCTATTTGCACAGGAAAGTCTCACTTGGGTGGGGGCTGAGTGATGGGGTAAACTCAGGGGGAGCCACGGTTGTGAGTGCTATTTCAGGGGTCCCTGACAAGCACTCCTCCGCTTGACATGCAGTTGACACTATGTAGCCAGGAATCTTGTGGCCAAACTCGGCATCAAATGTTAATGCTCTTATCCACTGGGGGAGGTGTGGAAGGATGAAAACCTTGAGATCTCAGCTACTTACATTGCACTACTAAATTTCTTTTTTAATCAAAAGAGAACTTAGAAAGTTGGTATCATCATCACCATTAGCATCATTATTATTATTTTCTATTTTCTGCACATGAATATGGTTTTTTATTAACAAAAGAGTACATGTAAACACGGAACTTTTTGACTAAGCTGAAACGACAGTTAACACACTGGCTGAAGTTGCTTTTCTCTTGGCCTTGATCACCTTTAATGGCCCCTTGACTTCTGTAATGACTATTTTGGAAGTAATCCTTTGGCTTATTCAATCTATTCATTTCATTGAAAGAGAATAGGGGATGATAAAATATGTTATTAATTTGCAAAGCTGTTGGCTGCAAATGTCAAGAGACTTAGTAGCCGAAACATTGAATTATAATCAGAAACATTACATTTTTGGTGGTGACTTGCAATCTTTTTCCTCTCCAGTTAAAAAAATAGGAATGTCAGTAATCAAGATTAGAGATGGAAAAAGCTAGGACTGGAATATTTCTCCAGGATTCGGAGTAGTTTTTCTGGTTTTGATGCTGTCTACCAAATTTGACCATTTAGGTGAGAGGTACTAGAGGTAAGGGAGAGAGAAGAAGAAAAAGGAAAAAAAACAATCACTTTAGTACGGTACATGCCATTGGAAGAGTGAGGATTGAGAGTTTCCCTGAGACATCCCTCAAAAGAATAGCTTAGAGTTGACAACACTTCTGCAAACTTTTAAGAGTACAGGAATATAAACATGCTTGTGAGTTCTAAATTTGTTAAAGCTCACATCCCCAGAACCATAAGGTGTTAAAGATATCCAGAAAGATTTTTTTTCTTGGCTTGGCTTTGACTTTCTCATCATTTATTACCTAAGAAACAAAAAATTTTATTTCTATCTCTAGAATATAAATTTAAATGGGGCTGAATACATAATAATTCCCTTAAATTAAAAAAGAAGACTTTCTGAAAAATAAACCATTCCACACATAGAGAAAGCAAAATTTGTCATTATAATAAAAGTAAAATGCCCACTTGGAGCTTCTGGTGTGTCTGTGGGTGTTCATTGCTTTATGCTTTCTCACTACGAGAAACCTTCTAAATCAAAAGAGTTATATGAATGCATCCCTGCATGAAAGTACACCTATGATGTCAAATCACACGGGAGAAAGTCGACAAAACATCACAACTACACAGAAACTCTAACAAATGTAAAGACTCTCCAAGGATATTTCGGTGAAATTGAACACAATTTCTTTAAGAACTATCATTCTTTAAATATTATAACATTGCTTACAAATCAACCATATAAATTGGTTGTTATGAAGCATAGCTTTATATGGCATATTAGTCTTGCTTAACTATTGACTATGATAAGATACTACAGATTTTAACACAAATACCAGAAATGTACTAAGAAGAGTAATTCTGAAGTGAGATTAAAATTTTATCAGTAAATGCATTTTTATCTTAAAAGCATACATATGAATACCAAACATTTATACTTGTGATTATTCCAGAAAACGCCATGGAATACAAAATTAGATACTGAGCATACTTACAATATTTTCCAATAATTAAGATGAAGAAGAAGACAGGACCAGATGTCATTTCCTTCTCTCTGAGCAACTGATTCATGAAAGTGAATAAAATTTGGTCTTGGTCTCTGAGTCGCATACAGCTCACGGTGGTTGTGTGCTATTTCTGTCTGCAATCTTAGCAGCTACAAAGGAGTCCTCCCTCCTTCCTCTCCCATTTCCTTTCTCTGTCTCTTTCCATTCCCTCCTTTTTTCTTCCTTTCTCTTCTTAGGATCTCTCCTCCCTGCCTTTCTTCTCTAAAAGTCTTACATCCTTCATACACACACACACACACACACACACACACACACACACACACACACACACACACACACACACAGACAAAGCTGAGCAGCAGCAAGGAAAAGTTTCAGAGAACACACAGGCTCTGTTGTCCAGTCTAAATATCTTGTTCCTATGTCTGAAACAGTCTACAAATGAGGGTGTGTATGAATGCTGACAAACGCCTGAACTGATCAAAGTCCCACTACTAGAAAGAAATTGAGCTAGAGATATATCACAAAGTATATCTATTTTTTCCTATGACACAGGACTAGGAAAAGAACGAAACTACTACAGGGCAAAATGCCTTTTTGAAATTAACTATAAGGCAGGGATTAAAATGTAACTACAGCAATCTTTTTTAATTGTTTGAGTTTGGGACTTTGAACAATAGGAAATTGTTCAAAGAAAAATACAAAGGAATAAAACAATACAAAATTATTTTGAACCTGTGGATTTTGCTACAGTGGTGACTGTGACATGTCATTGGCTGCGGAATAAGCCATCCTGTGTTTGAATCCCAGATCCCCTGTGACTTTCGAGTGTGCAGGTGCTTGCTCTTGGCAGAGGTTTGGCTTTCTGGAGGGAAATATTGATGCAGCTGGTAGCTGTGATGATCAATCCAGGGGCATACCGCATGTCTGATGCAGGTCCTAGTGCATTGTAGGTGATTACTAAATGGTAGTCAATCATATGATGATTATTTTTATTATTTCACCAGCAGGGGATAAAAAGCATGAAAATGCAAATAACATTTGTATAGAATACATTTTCTTTTAACCAGTCTGTGTCATTCTTTTTTAAAAAATTGAAATGCTTATAATTACTGCCGTCAAATACACATTTTATTTATTTATTGACTTATTATTTTATTATATTTTTCTTTTTCTTTATATTGTGGGGTATAATTTAGGGTTATGTATACAAATGTTCATTATGCAGGTACCTTTGTTGATGAGGTGTGCCCTCCCTCCCCTGGCAGTTTCCCTCAACTGCCAATCTCACCACCCCTTCCCCTGACAGTTTCCCACTACTGCCAATCCCTTTCTTACAGTATTATGATCTTTGGTCAAGGTTCACTTATGAGTGAGAACATATGGTACTCTATTCTTTGCTTCTATGATAGATCACTGAGTATGATAGACTCCAACTCCATCCAAGTTGCTGCAAAGTCCATATGTTTGTTCTTCTTTATGTCTGCATAATATTCCATTGTGTATATGTACCACATTAAAAAAAATCCAGTCCAGTTTCAATGGGCAGCATGATTAGTTCCGTGTTTTTGATATTGTGAATAGTGCTGCAATAAGCATGTGTGTGTCATTCTTATGTTGAGACTTGATAATGTATTTCTAGATCAAATGGATAGTAGACCATTAATATGAGGAATGTGTGAAGTTAGTGCCCCCTACTTGTAGGTATCCTACAAGTAGAATCTGTTTAAATTACATATCTGTATATCTTTGACTTCAGTATAGTAATCCTATTTCTCAATAGTGGCTAAAATATTACATCAATACTGTCTTTTTTCTCCCTTGTAAATACAATTAATTCCATGGAAGGAGAAATTCTGTATGAAAATCTTCACAAGTTCTTAGTAATTTAGGAGAATATTTAATTCATGATGATACTGGTTCTTTTGATGGACATGTTTATGGTTAACTGAATTTGGTCCCAAGAAATGTTTAATATTTTTAATAATACCTAGAATGTTTTAAGAGTATTAAATGGAATATTTCCTGGATTATTTATATTTTTAGAAATAGCATTTCCTGGAAGGATGCCATGGGACATGTCAAGCGCATACAGAAAGGGGCCCACAGGGAAGCTTCTCAACAGTAAAATGTAATTGCTGGAAGGATTGTCCCAGTATACAGTAAGCTGTTGATATACAGAGGTTTTCAAGTCATTCTGATGCTATTTTGTTAACTTTGAAATTTTTGCCTGAGCATATGTCACTGACATATACATATAGTGGCTTAATAGCCAAGAAGTACTCTTAACAATGCATTTTTTTTTTGAGTTGGAATCTCACTCTGTCACCCGGACTGGAGTGCAGTGTCACATTCCTGGCCATCGCAGCCCTGACCTGCTGGGCTCTGGCGATCCTTCCATCTCAGTCTTCCAAGTAGCTGGAACTACAGGCGCGTGCTACCACACCTGACTAATTTATTTATTTAAAAATTTTATTGTACAGAAGAGGTCTCGCCAACTTACCCAGGTGGGTCTTGATCCCTCGGGCTCAGGCAATCCACTAGCCTCAGCCTCCCAAAGTGCTGGGATTACAGGCTAAGCCACTGAGCCTGGCCAATGATTCAGTTTTAATCTATTCAAATTATCAGTGCAAAATCTCAAAATCATCTCTCGTTTTATTAAGTATAAATTAGGCTTTACTAAAATAAATATTTATTTGAAGGAATAATTTTCAATATTTTTTTTTAGAATGTCACTTCTTTCTTATTTCTGGCAAAGGAGTGAATCTGGAGTATTCGTTTTATAGAAATATTTTGGTGGAAACACCCTCAAGTGAACACAGAGTAACCTGGTCATACATTGCAGCAGGTGTTATTTCTACTTTGAACTGGAGAATTCTTAGCTGTGAGGGACTGTCCTTTGCACTGTACAAAGTCTAGCAGCATCCCTGGCCTCTGTCTGCTGGATGCCAGTAGTGCTTTCCTGTTGCACAATTAATTGTGTTAACAGACTGGCACATGTCCCTTGGGGACAACATTGCTCCCAACTGAGAACCACTGCATTGTAGCAAAAGATCCCCTGAATAATGTTATGTATTAATTTTTTTTTACTCAATTACTAAAATAGAATTCTTACCTAAAATTTGAATTAAAGCATGTTTTCTTATTCTCTTGTTTTGCAGCCAACTTGAAACACATACTAAAGAGTTTTAAAAACAGATGGTGTGTGTTCCTAGCCTTCTCTCCCTGACCACATTGTTTAGTTATAAGCTTGTACCATAGGCCTGATAGAATCTGTGCTAACAATGCCACTACTTGGCTGAGCATGTCAGGATTTTTTGCTTTAGATTTGGTGCTAACACAGTCTGATAGAGGTTAATACCCCCTTAAAAATTATTTTTTGACAATCTTAAAAATTTTTTTTATTTTAAGGATGTAGGATACAGTTCAGGGCTAGGTATACAAATGGTCATTGTACAGGTAAAGTTTGGACCTCACGTTGGTCCCCACTTCACCTAGTTTGAGATCAGGTACCCTAATCAATGAAGTGTGCTCCCTTCCTCCCTGGCAGTTTCTCACTACTGCCAATCCCTTTCTTATGGTATTATGATAATTGTTCAGGGTCCTCTTATGAGTGAGAATATGTGGTACTCAGTTCTTTGTTTCCGTGATAGATCATTGAGTATTATAGATGCAAAGTTCATAATTTTGTCCTTTATGGCTGCATAATATTCCAACATGTATATGTACCACATTTAAAAAATTCAGTCCACTTTCAATGGGCAGCATGGTTGGTTCCATATTTTTGCTTTTGTGAATAATGCTGCAGTAAACATGCATGAGTAGGTATCTTTTTAAAGAGTGATTCCAGTTTCTCTGGATATATTCCCAGCAGGGGAATTGTGGGGCTGTATAGAAGGTTGGTTTTTAGATGTTTTAGGAATCACCACACTATTTTCCACAGAGGTTGTACTAGTTTACATTCCCACAAAGAGTGCAGAAGTGTTCCCTTTTTCCCACATCCTCTCCAGCATCTGTTGTTTTGTGAGTTATTGATGATGGCCATCTTGACTGGAGTCAGGTGGTATCTTAGTGTGGTTTTAATTTGCATTTCTTTGATGACTAGTGAGGCTGAGCATTTTTTCATGTATCTGTTGGCTGCTCATATGTCTTCTTTTGAGAAGTGTCTATTCATGTCTTTTGCCCATTTTGTTATGGAGCTGTTTTTTTCTTTTTGGCAACTTTGAGTTCCTTGTAGATCCTAGATGTTAGACCTTTGTCAGATATACAGTTGGTAACTATTTTTTCCCAGTCTGTGGGCTATCTCCCTGCTCTCCTCATGGTTTTTTGGCTTTGCAGAAGCTTTTCAGTTTGATGAAGTCCCACTTGTCTATCTTATCTCTTATGGCATGGGCACTTGGGGATTTGATCAGGAATTGGTTGCCATTTCCAATTTCCATAAGGGTGTCTCCTACAATTTCTAAGGTGTTTATAGTTTGAGGTTTTACATTTAAGTCTTTGATTCATTTAGAGTTGATTTTCATGTATGATGATGTGGTCAGCCAGTTTTCCCAGCTTTCCCATTTACTGAATAGGTTCTCCTTTCCCCAGTCTCTGATGGTGGAGGTTTTGTCAAGATGAGATGGTTGAGAAATTGAAGTTTTGCTTCTGGAATCTCTATCTTGTTCCATTGGTCTATATGCCTGTTCTTGTGCCAATACCAGACTGTTTTGATTATTGTGGCCTTATAAGTTTAAGGTCTGGGAGTGTAATACCTCCCTCTTTTTGTTGTTGTTGTTGTTGAGGATTATTTTGACTATTCATGGTTGTTTATGTTTCCATATGAATTTCTGTATTGTCATTTCCAGGTCTGAGAAGAATGCTGCAGGTAATTTAATGGGTATTGCATTAAATCTGTAGATTGCCTTGGGTAGGATGGACATCTTAACGATGTTGATTCTTTCAGTCCATGAGCATGGAATATTTTTCCATTTGTTTGTGTCATCTTTGATTTCTATGAGCAGTGTTTTGTAGTTTTTGTTGTAAAGTTCTTTGACTTCTCTGATTAGGAAAATGCCAAGATATTTCATTTTTTTTTGTGGCTATTGTGAATGGGATTGTGCTTTTTATTTGGGTTTCTGTTTGCTTATTGTTGGTGTATAGAATGTGACTGGCTTTTGCACATTTATTTTATTTATTTATTTATTATTTTTTTTTTTCTGAGTTGGAGTCTCACTCTGTCACCCAGAGTGGAGTGCAGTGGCCGCTCTCAGCCACTGCAACCTTGACCTTCTGGGCTCCAGAGATCCTTCCGCC